GGAGGAGGAGGAGGAGGAGGAGGAGGAGGAGGAGGAGGAGGAGGAGGAGGAGGAGATGGAGGAGCTGTCGTTGTGGGGTGTGGGGCTATTGCCTCGCCCTGAGAGGCCACGACTTTGGGCGGCCTGCGTGTCACCAGAGCATCGTCCACTTCGCAGCCTCAGGAACCCTGGGCAGTTCGGAGCGGAAGGCCCCGCAATGGGCGCACCGAGCCAGGGCGGAGGGAGCCGAGAAGCAGGGGCTCCCAAGCGACTTTGGGGATGCCTCTGACAGCGAGGTAATCGCTAACGACCCTGCCGTCGCACAGTATTTTGGGTCATCCGGCACGTAGCGTCGCAACGCGCGTGCCGTGTTGGATGTCCTCCAAGCACGTCTTGCACTTGAGGTTTCTTGCTTGTGATGTGAATCGACGGCCGTGTATTGTGTGGTCGACCGTCGGTCCATGGCCTCTTGTGGCCTTCCAGGGTTTGACCACTCAACTTCCCCGTCGCTTCCCTGTGGCGTCCCGCTCCGTTGGTCCTGGTTGCCGCGGTCGCCCGTGCATGCTCGGCCTCCTGTGGCCTCCTCTGGCTGCGCCACCCACGGCGGCCCCGTCGTTTCCCCTCTGGCCTCCCGCTCGCCCTGCGTCCAGGCGGCGGCCGTAGTTGCGTTGCCGTCTACGGCCTCCAGAGGCTGCTGTACGGCTTCCCGAGGGCGTCCCGCCCCACTGGCCCAGTGTCCCGGGTGCTGTCGGCGATTGGCATCTTTGGCCCCCTGTAGTTGGTCTGTGGCCTCCCCGTGGCCTCCCGCCCCATTGGTCTGGTGTCCCAGGGTTGGTGGTTTGCCTCCTGTCGCATCCTCTAGCCTGGCCTCCTCATCTGTGTATCGTTTGCCTGGGGCCTCCCGCTCAACTGGCCTGGTTCCCGGGGTCGGCTATGGATGCTTGGTTTTGGGTGTTGCGTAATAGGGGGGTCATAAATGGGGGGGTGGCGAGGGTGGTCCGAAAAGGTACCCAAACGGTGCCTAAACGAGCCCCCTGGGGCTCCGGAGGGGCCCGAAAGGGGCACGAAAGGGGACCGTTTCTGACCCCCCTATTTGTGACCCCCCATTAAGCCACGCCCAATTGGTTCCCTGTGTTCTCACGCTCTCGTGCGGTTTGGTCTCCTATGGCTTCTCATGCGGCTTCTCGCTTCCCTGGCTGCGGCTGTCGGGGTCGGGCCGCGGGCGCTCGGCTTGCTCTGTCTGCCGAAGACATGAGGTCGTGCATCGGTTTAACCAAAGCTGTATGAGGTCGACGCGCTGAGCCATCTTGGACTACGACGGCGCAATGTATCACGCTCCGTGCTGGATTGGTCGGATGATGAACGTCTCCTCCTCCTCCTCCTGCTCCTCCTGCTGCTGCTCCTCCTCCTCCTCCTCCCATCTCCTCCTCCTCCTCCTCCTCCTCCTCCTCCTCCTCCTCCTCCTCCTCCTCCTCCTCTCCTCCTCCCTCTCCTCCTCCCCCTCCTTTCTCCTTCTCATCCCCCTTCCCCCCCCCCCTCCTCGTCGTGCTCTCGCCGCCCCCCCCCCCCGCCCTGGCCTCGCCGTCGTCTCCTCTGCCGCCGCCCCCTCTCCCCAGAACCCCAGCCCCTGGTACTGGCGGTCGGCGCGCGGGCGCGCTCTCACGGGGAGCTCCTGTCGCCTGCTTCTGTCCAAGGGCCAGGCAGGGTTTGCCCGCTTGGGTGGCGGCGGAGGAGGAGGAGGAGGAGGAGGAGGAGGAGGAGAAGGAGGAGGAGGGAAGAGGAGGAGGAGGAGGAGGAGGAGGAGGAAGAGGAGGAGGAGGAGGAGGAGGAGGAGGAGGAGGACGGGCAGGCGCCAGCGGCAAGCAGCAACTAAATCGTGGCCTGTCCATCGGAGCTTCGTGGCTGTCCTCCGGGCCCCCCGTCCCTCCAGCGACAGAAGATCTGGCGGCCGGCGCGGGGGTGGCGGCAGGTCCAGGCCCCGGCGCCCGTCCCAGCCGAAGCACTGCGGAAGGGCACCGCGGACTTCGAGGCGCCACGCCTCGCCCCGTGCGGCCAGCCCGCGTGGCAAGGATGGGTGATCTTCCCGAGGGTGCCCCGGGCTTCTCAACAAGCGTGGGGGGGTACCCCCCGACGGGGCCTCGCCTCGTCGTCGCGCCGCGACGGGGGTCGGAGCGCTTTCGGCGCGCGGTGGCTGCCCGCGACGGGGTTCGATGTGTGGCTGTCGGCGGGGGCGCCGCCCCCCCCAACGCTTATGAAGAAACCCGGAGTACCCTTGCATCCCTGCCCTTTCGGCCCATCCTCAGCGACGTTCGCTCGCTAGCCTCGTTCGAGAAGCTTCGAAATCACCGTCCGAGGCCCCTGCACCCGCATCGTGCATCCTCATGATGCGGGCCGACTACACTGCTGCCTCTCTCCCCGTGGTTGGAGGGGGGGGAGGTAAGATGAAGCCATGACACGGATAAGATCTGGTGAGGATGCGTCGAGGATCTTTGAGTTCCGGCGGCTCTGAAGGATGTCTCGGGCGCCGCTCTGGAACGCTCTGAGTGAGTTCCGCAACGCTCTGGAACGGATTTCTCCTCGTCCCAGCCCTGTCCGAGGAGGACCAAGAGTAGAGTCGAGCAGCGGACGGGGCCCCTGTCCCTGTTGGGCCTCGGGCTCCCCCCCCGTGGGTGAAATGGGTTTTGCAGCAGGCACCTTCGCAACCGCACCACCGGCGTCGTCACGGGGGACAACGATCGGGAGCCTCGAGACGGGGGTCAATGCAAACGGGGGTCAGCCAGGGCACCGGATCCTGCAGGATCCTGCGAAGATCCCCTCTGGCTGACCCGGATTAGCGAGCCGCTCGTGGCTGCGAGGCGGCCGCGCATATTGGCTGACCCGGGTTTGCGAAGACCTGCGTTGCAGTTTTTGGTTTCCTGCTGACATGGTTCTGGATTGACCCGGGTCGGAAGATCCCCGAAACGAAGGCGTTGGCCCCGCCTCGCAGCCCTGCACAGAGCCAGCTCCCCAGATCTCTTGGCTGCGCGCTCGCCTTCTCGAGTGGCAAACGCAGGGGAGGAAAAGGTGGCCTCCTGGCAGGCCCTCGTCGCCAACACTGGATTCGCCTCAAAATTCTGGGCAGGGCGCACCCCGGGAGAAGTCCGGGGAGTAGCGGCGTCGGTGCTTTTTGCTTGCCCCACCCTCGGGTGGGAATCGGCGGCACTTCTTCAGGCTTGACAGCACACATGCGTCGCTCGTTTCGGGGAGAGGCCCCGCTCCCTGTCGGACCCGAGATGCGCTAATATGTTGCGAAACACCCTCGCGTCTCGAGTCTCCCCCCCCCGCGCGTCCTTGTAGGCAGATCGTGTGGGTGCAGAAAGCCCCGCGCTGAAAGGCAGGCACCACCTGGCCCTGCCATCCAGGGGAGACCCCCGTTTTGAAAGGGATCCGTCCTCCGTCCTTCTAGCTGGAAGGAAGTCAAAGTGGTAGGCCCTGCAGCCTAGGGAAGAACCAAGCGAGAACCCCGCTGTGGAAAGGAGGCGCCATCGCTTCTCGCAGGATCCGCACATTTATACCGATGAGTCTAGAGCGAGAGCTCCGTATCGGAAAAGTCATGCGCCCTGCAACCGTGTAGTTGTTGTACAATGATGGGGTTCCAGTTGCCAACTCCGAGGAAGTCTTAATATCATGAGGCTTGGCTGGCCAGCTGTTGATGAAGAGACTGCCTGCCGTCCATGCTGATGTTACAAACGTTGGGTACAACCGCTCGCGGTCGGTGCTACAACGAGAGCCGCGTGTTGAAAACGAATTGCCTTCACACTTGCAGCCGTTGCAAGGGTTTGAGATTGTACTTGGCGCTAAGTCGAGGAAGTTGAACCCCCCTCCTCGTGCTTCATCCGTGCATCTTCTTGAAAAGCACGACGTGCGCGGTTCGAAGGGACATCAGGCCGCCTTTCACCAGTGCAAGTACGGGAAAGTTTAAGCTGCAAGACCATCAGAAGCGAGGAAGTCTCAGGCGAAGCGCCCACCCGGCCCAATCAATACTTCCGGCCGTGCGGCGAGGAGTAGATACCTATAGAGAAGAGGCTGGGGAGCGAAGACAATGCAGAGGAGAAGGAGGAGGGGGAGGAGCTCAAGCTAGGTGCGCTCGCGTCATGTCTGACGTCCTACCCCTCACTCCCATCCCTTACCATGGCGTAGATCTCCTTTCTATTCGAACAAGTGGATGTCGTAGCATGGGAAAGCATTACATGGCATAGCATGGTGTCGAAGATCAAAGCGTTGCGTGACATAGCATGGCAAGGGGGCTTCTGCGGCCCCCAAAATCAACGAATCAGCACCGAATGTGTAATCACTTCCGATGGTCCCTTCGGGAGGGCATTTTCTAGATTTGGGGGCCTATTTGGAAGAACCGAAATCCATGCCGTGTCATGGCGCTGGAAATAATGACGCCAGCGCTGCAGCGGGAGCACGATTCGGAACCAGCGGTAGCCCGAAAATGAGGCCAGCGCTTCAGCGAGAGCAGCATATTGAAAAAACTAAGTGTGGAAGCGCGGAAATGAGGACGCGTAGCCTGACATAGCTTCGCGTGGCGACGCCCCAAAGTGGGGGGCTTCTGCGGCCCCAAAAATCAACGAATCGATACCGAATGCGTAATCACTTACAATGGTTTCTTCGGGAGGGCATTGTCTAGATTTTTTGACTGAAAACCATGCCGTGACATGGTACTCAAACTAACGACGCCAGCGCTCTAGCGGGAGCACGATTCGGAACGAGCGGAAGCGCGGAAATGCGGCCAGCGTTTCAGCGGGAGCACGATTCGGAACGAGCGGTAGCCCGAAAGTGAGGCCAGCGCTTCAGCGAGAGCAGCATTTGGACACACAAACCCAAGCGAAAACCCAACTCCCGGAATCCCGTGTGTAAAAACCGTACGCGGAGGGGGGCCGGACATTCCCCCGACGCCACCAGGGGAGAGAGGAGAGTAGTATTCATATTGTGTAATTGTTGAGGAGGAGGGGGAGGGGCGGAGGAGGAGGAGGAGGAGGAGAAGGAGAAGGGAGGAGGTGGAGGAGGAGGAAGGGGAGGAGGAGAGGAGGGAGAGCGAGGAGGGAGGAGGGAGGAGGAGGAGGAGGGGAGGAGGAGGAGGAGGAGAGAGGAGGAGAAGAGAAGGAGGAGGGAGGAGGGCTTGAGGAGGAGGGGGGGAGGAGGGGAGGAGGAGCAGGAGGAGACGAGGAGGAGGAGGAGGAGGAGGGAGGAGGAGGAGGAGGAGGACGGAGGAGGAGGAGGAGGAGGAGGAGGAGGAGGAGGGGGAGGAGTAGGAGGAGGAGGACCAGGGAGAGGAGAACGACGAGGTCCCTGGTCGAGAGCGGGAGCGGGGGGGATGAATACCTTTGAAGCCGTGAGCGGGTGTGGCCTGCCTCCGTAGAGCCAGGCCCCGAAAGCGAAGGGGAGGAAGTGGAGGAGGACCAGCAGGAGGAGAAGCACAAGTCCCTCCCTCTTTCCTGCTCCCCCTCCGCCGCTTCCTCTCCCCCACTCCCCCCCCCCCCCCGCCCCCCCCCTCTCCTCCTCCCCTCCCCCGATCCCCCTCACACGCAATTACTCAACATGTATACTACTCTCCTCTCTCCCCTGATTGTGTCCAGGAGATGTCCCGCCCTCTCCGCGTGTTTTTGAAGTGCACAGAGGATTGGACACGCATGGTGATTCGTGTGTAACTCCGGTGGCTTTCGGTGTTTCAAAACGATGCTCCCGCTGGAGCGCGGGCCTCACTTTCAGATGGGCGCTGTGCTCCCGTCGTTCAGAAAGACGCTCTCGCCCCAGCGGGGGGCACTTTACTGGATCCCTTTTCCGTCGTTGCCGCCCCCCTCGTTTCCCCTCCTCCGACTTCCCTGGGCCCTGCTGCTTCCCCCGTTCCTTTCAATCCAGCTCGTGTTACTGCTATTCGTCCCTGTCCTCCTTTCTCTCCTGCTCATCCTCCTGCTTCTCAGCCACCTCCTCCCTCCTCCTCCAATATGCGCAGCTCCCTTCTTCGATCTTGATTTAGCACAACACGATGACGTCCCCTGTGGAGTTCCAGGTCTGCTATGACACGAGTCGGTGGATAAAGAAAGAACAGCGCAATGGGAAGGGGTGGGTGGGAGAGGTAGGATGTCAGGCAATGCCTCCCCTTCCTACCCTCATCCCCTTCCTGCCCTCCCCCCTATCCCTTCTTCCCGCCCAGCGCCTTTGTTCTACCTGGGCGACGAGCGGACAGGGGATTCAAAAATGGGCGCTTGGGTTGAACGTGACGGAGGACAGGTTGGACGAATCGAGAGGGCAATATGGTCAAGATGTACCATAAGGATTTGTACATTTCCCAGGGTATGATCCTTGCCTCCCTCCCCATCCTATCCCTCAGTCATGCGCCAGAGACTTTCAACTTCGGATCCAGTCTGGGCGTCCAAGGGCCTTGCATCCTTACCGAGCGCCCTCATGATCCAGCCGCACTGTAGATACGGTCGGGAGCTTTGGCTTAGCCTGCCGTTCCGCCGGTTCTGGCCCACCACGCTCCGGCGCGACACGCTATCCATATCCCAGCCCTCAAGCATTAGCGTCCCGAGGCTTTCCCGGTCTCCCGCCCCGCGGTGCGGAGTGACACGCTGTCAGCTCGCAGGGCATAGCGTGTCACCGGGACCGCCGCCGTGACACGCTGAGCGAAAGTTCCCGACCGTGGGAGGCGGCCCATCAATACTTCTTGTCCGCTGCTCCTCCATCCGCGGCGCGTTCGAGTGTAACCTGCTGTCCTCAAGCTGAGCGGAAGCGTCAGGCAAGGAATGGCCTGAGGGCACGGCGGAATGAAGGAGCGGGGAGGGGGGGCGGGACAAAAGCATGAGGGATGCCGTGGGATGAAAGCCAGGAGGGAAAAACACACAGACACAAATAAGTTCCCAGGAGTCTATGAGACAATTTGGGAAGTGGGGGGGAAGACGACAATCAGGAAAATATGAGAACATATCGATAATCTTGGGATTTGTGTCTATTTATTCGTGTGTGTCCCGGGGCTCCTTTACAAAGGAGAGTAGGGGGGGGGCGGGATCGAGCGATGTTGTCCTATGTATTTCGAGGCCAGCATGCTGGCATGCGCTGCTTCTGCTTCAGGCGCGCATTCCTTGTGCGGGGGTGCCGTACGCCAGTGTGTGTGTGTGTGTGTGTGCGTGTGTGTGTGTGTGGGTGTGTGTCTCGACGCGCAGAGGGGTGTAGGAGGAGGGGGGGAAGGCTTCTTGGAAGCACCCCTGCTTCTCAGAAGGCGCGGTTCTTGTCTGAAGCTGTAAGGCCGGCGCCTTCTAAGAAGCAGCCTCCTTCTAAGAGGCGTCCCTCCCTCCCCCTGCCCCCTTGTGCGCGCCGCCAAGTGTGCATTCAGATTTCCGTCGTGTGCTTCCAGGCGCTCACAGATAGGCCCGCGCGCGTAGGCATAAGCACGTCATTGCTTTCATGCGTGCCTCAGGTCGCACGCGCGCATTTGAGCATGTGCGCATGTAGCAAGCAGATGTGCTGAGGCCATGATCCTGAGTGCCACGGGTAATGCTTCTCGAAGAAGGGCCAAAGAGAGCCTTGCTCGCACGTGTTGCCGAGGCTGAAGCGACACACCCACGAGCTTTCACTCGGTTCACGCTTGGTGTGGGTGTCAGGTTGTGGAGCATCAGCGCGTTTTCGCGGGACGCAGTGACGAGTCAATGTTTCACTGCGACGGGATAGCGGTTCAGAGTCCTATATGAGTGGAAGCATGTTTGCGGTGCCAGGCGGTAACTGGTCAAGGCGGCGCAACTGCACAGTACTACGTGCAGGCCTGCAAGCTTCTCCGATGTTGTTTCTCCTCTTCGCCCTCGCTGTTGATCGACACGACTTCCACACCCGTTGGACAGGGTCGGCATCCAGCATTTCCATAGTTCAGATGCTCGGTCATACACCCCTTGTCGAACACAACCGCTCGGCCTTCGCGCCGAAGACCGCAGACGACCGTCACCAGAACGCCGAAGACCGCCGACGACCACCGAAAACCGCCTGGAGACCCCCTAAGACGGCCCTGACTCCACCCTGACCCGCACGGAGGGCACCCTCGCGCTGGAGGACGATCCCAGGCTTCTTGACGAATGCACGTGCCCGTGAAGCGAGGGAGACTGAGCCCCTCTATAGGGCGCTCGACCGCGCCCGATTCCCCCGATGCATCCTTCACCCTCCAGCTCCATCGGCCTCGGACCCTCGCAAAGGCAATCCCAGAACGCCCTCGAAGAGACCGCATTCTCCAGGACCGCCCTCTCGGGGAACCCGCTCGCAGCCCCTGCAGAGGCGCCTCCCTCTGCCTCCCTCCCTCTGCGCGGCCGCCGGGCGGCCGCACGACCAGGCTGACACACGCCCCAGGGCGGCGAGGTGCGACACCCGTTCCAGGAGTCCCCGCATCCTCGCGAGACGCTTAAGACACCCAGACCACCCCCCAGACCCCCCCGGAGGGACCCAGACCTCCTCGCGCTGTGGAAGACTTGCCCTCGCTATTTTCGGCCTCCGGGGGCCCTTACCGGCCCTCAGGACCGTCAAAGAACGGCTCGGGATGGAAAACCGGTCCCGGGGAAGGGCTCCAGACCATTGGGGGTCGACGTGGTGAAAAATTCACGACGTCGGAGGTCCGGGAACGGAAGGCCTGGGGTCAGGGGCTACTTCACCTCGCCAGGCCACCCATCTCGGGGGACCTTCAGACCAAGAGGAGCTGTGACAAATCTCGACGTCCGGGGTCTTTGGGGGAGGGGGGTCCAGCGTTTCGGCGGCGAGCGAGGGGAGGAGGTGAGAAGGAGAAGGCCTTCTCCGAAGGCGGCGGCGGGACTTCTCAGGAGCCCTCGCGCCTGTGGGAAGTTTGCTGCGTCTTCGGGGAAGGCTTGGGACACTTCTCAGAAAGCTGGGGGACTTCCGAGTCTTCTGAGAAGGTCCGCCCTTCTCACTTTCCCCCCCTCGCTCGCCGCCGAGCAATGAGTAGGTGTTGGGGTCGGTGTTGTTCATAGCCGTATAGCCCTATAGCCCTTGGGCGACAGAAGCCCGATGACCAAATTCGAAGAGCTCGTCGAAACTTCGGGGGCGTGCACGCACTTCATTGTAGGCATTTTTCCCAGAGCGCTCAGGTGGCGAGGCCAGATTGGAGTTCTCTGAACTCTCCAGGGGCCATTGCCACGTTGAAAACACCGCCTCCTCCGATCGGGTCCAGCGACGAGTTGGTGCTGGTTTTTTAACTCGCTTGTGGGATCGTCCTGATGTTTTTGGTTCTGGCCCGGAGTGGCCTGAGGCGATTTTTGGCCGGTGTCTTCCTCACCCCCTACTGCTTTTCGCGGCGTTTGGCCGAGCGCGCCATGGAAAGTGGAAGCCTATCGCCGACAACTGCAACGAAGGGGGTGCAGCGCCGATCCAGGAAATCCTCGCGGGCCTCCGAGAGCGCATGCGTTTACCCTCGACCTGCACCTTCCGCGCGGAAGGTGCCGCGATGCTGCCGCGGCGGCCGCCGCGGCCGCCGTTGCGGCTTGCCTCGACGGTGGCTGCCGCTGTGCGGCCGCGGTGGCGGCCGCGGCAGCGCGGCACCTGCCACGCGGAAGTCGACTAGACGTAAGAGTGGCCTTTCGCCGGAGTGACCTTTTGGTGCGGGCCCAATGGGTTCTCCTCGTCGTTGAGCGCGAAGCGGTAGTAGCGTCTTGCGCGCTCGTGTACGATCCCGCCGCGGCCCCCAACGAGCCGCGCACGGCTTTCTTATCCCGGGCCACTCTTGCGCGCAGCCGGGCAGGGCGCGGGAGGTGCAGGTCGAGGGTCCAAGAGGGCCCGGTTGTGTCTGTTTTCATGCATCCAGTCCGGGCGCCACCACGCAAGGCGCTCGGTGCTCGCGGGTCGTCTGGGGCGCGCTTCGTTCTGTGGTCACCTTCGCCGGGCCCACCGTCGTCAGCCAGAGGCTGCGCAGAGCCTGCTGTCGCGGAAAGCCGTCACGGTCGGCTGTATGGACATTCGCGCGTAAGCTGCTCGCGCAGAGTCGCGCGTGAGCGCTGTGTCTTGCCCCTGCGGAGTGCCGCGCTCGTGGCCTGCGCAAGCCACCGCGTAACGTCTCCGCCGCGTCGTCCGCACGAGCCCTCTGTCCTCGTCGCCCTCCTGTGCTTGGCTGTGGCTCCCGCCCAGGGCCGCCCTCGAGGAAGAGGATGGGGGCCGACGCGGGGCGAGGAGCGAGGAGGCGCCGACCCCCCCCCCGCGCCGAGGCGGCCCTCATGAGCGGCGACTCGGTCGCCCTCGCCATGCCGCGGGGCGGGTGCGCGCGTTCGGCAGATCGGGGCCGTCACCGTGCTGTTGGTTCCGGCTGCCCCCGGGGGGCAGGGCCATCCCCGGTGGCTCGCGCTTGGGGAGGGCCTCCAGCGCACCGCGCTGACTTCGTTGGGTCAGGTCCAGAATGCATGTCGGAGTCAAAGGCGAAGATGGAATCGGAGAAGGCAGGGGCGGAGGAGGCGTCGGCGGCGGCGCAGTATGTGCATGCGGAGGAGGCGGAGGCGGCGGCGGCGCAGGTTAGAGGTTTGGGAACGGAAGGGACTGATGAGCAGCGTGCTCCCATCGACGGCGTATAATCAGTCGCAAGTGGGAGAGCATGGAGCATCGCCCTTCTCCTCCTCCTCTTCCTTCTCCTCCTCCTCCTCCACCTCCTCCTCCTCCAGGCAACAGCGAGCGACTCCGACATAGTCCTGAGCAGTTCGTTCGAGGGGCATCCAATGACTCTTCGTGCTCGCCCGCGCAGGTCCGCAAACATTTTTTGTTGTTGTTAGCCAGGGTCGCGACTCCGGACTCCTACGTCAGTGCTGCGAATCAGTCTGGATGGTTCCTCAGTCGCGTTCCCCCCCCCCCCTCGACCTGCACCTTCCGCGCCTTCTGCGCAGCAGGTGCCGCGCTGCCGCGGCCGCCACCGCGGCCGCAGCGGCGCCCACCGTCGAGGCCGCGGCGGCCGCCACATCGCGGCAGCACCTTCCGCGCGGAGGGCACGGAAGGTGCAGGCCCGTTAAGGTTCGCGCGTGCTCGGTCGAGCGTGCCCCACACTTTAATATCCCGCCCCCCCGACCCGACCCGCCCGCTAGGGTCCGCCTGCCCGACCCGAGCCAACCCGCCCGCCAGGGCCCGCCCGCCCGAACCGACCCGCCCGTTAGGGCTCGCGCGTGCTCGGTCGAGTGCCCCTCATACTTTGACGTCCCGCCCGCCCCACCCGTCCCGCCCGTCAGGGTCCAGCCCGCCCGACCCGGCCCGACCCGCCCGCTAATTAGGGTCCGCCCGCCTGCGGCGACGACGGCGTCGGCGAAGCCAGCGCCGGCGAAACCAGCGCCGGCGAAACCAGCCGCCGGCGAATCCAGCCGCTGGCGAAACCAGTGGCGAAACCGGCGGGGCGAAACCAGCGCCGGCGAAACCAGCTCATGCCGCCCTCCCCCCCCTCACGCCAGCGATTGCCTGAATCCCACCCCAGGACTCCCTGCCCCAGCCCCCCGACTCTTTCTCCTTCCGACTCTGCGACGAGGAAAGAAGCCGCCAAGAAATGAGGGAAACCCTCGGAGACACCAAAAGGAGGCTACTCGCATGCACCCCATATCGAAGATGGGCGCCCCCCCATCGTGCATCCCAGGGTTGGGGCCCCAGAGTCCAGGCCCCTTTCGAACCCACACGAAGCCTTGGATGGGGGGTCGACATATCCCTTGTCTGACGGAGGAGGAGTAGGAGGAGGAGGAGGAGGAGGAGGAGGAGGAGGAGGAGGAGGAGGAGGGGGAGGAGGAAAAGGAAGAAAAGGAGGAGGAAAAAAGGAGAGGATGAGGAGGAAAAGGAGGAGGAAGGGAGGGAGGAGGAGGAGGAGGAGGAGGAGGAGGATGGAGGAGGAAGGAGGAGGAGGAGGAGGAGGAGGAGGAGGAGGAGGAGGAGGAGGGGAGGGGGAGGAGGATGAGGAGGAGGGGGAGGAGATGGAGGAGGGGGAGGAGGAGGAGGAAAGGGAGGAAGGAGGAGGAGGAGGAGGCGGAGGAGGAGGAGAAGGCACCCAGACCGCTGCCCTCAGCCCGTTTCCCCTTTGAGAGGCCTCCTGGGAGGCCCTCGTCGCCACCGCGGGGTTCTCGTCGAAGTCCTGGCTCAGAACGCACCCCAGGAGAGGTCCGGGGAGTAGCGGCATCGGTACCTTTCGGGTTCCCCAGATCGGGGATGTGGTCGCGCTTCGCGCGTCTGGCCAGCGCCTCTGGCAGGGCACCCCCGGCGGGCACCCCCGCGCCGTCCCCTCTGGAACGGGCTTGCCGGCCAGCGGACTCGCGCGTGCCTGCGCCCCTTCCACCCTGAGGCCCGACTCCACGAAGAAGGCGCAGCATCGTGGACAATCGCGACGGGAGCCCTGCACCGTGAGCTCCAACGTAACAGAAACAAATCAGCGCGTGCGTTTTGGGCGAGTCTCGGGCTCTTGCGGGTTCCGCCAGGGCCGTCAAGGAGCGACCCGCGACCCGCGAGGCGAAGCGCTGGTCGCAAGTCGGGCATGTCCCTCCACGGGAGGAATATCCAAAGATAATAAACCGATATTATGGTGACGATTTCTCGTGCTTTTTTTGCCATTCTGGATGATTTTGGGATCAATTTCTACTGTTCTGCAAAATCCGCCCGCAGGAGGACATGGCCGACCTGATGCTGGCCCTGGGGTGGGGAGGTCCAGGCCCCCAGGGTGGCCTCGCGGCAGAGATCACGGTGACGGGGCTGTCGGGCAGGCCCCCGACTCTCTCGGGTGCTGC